ATGTAGCCCGATGTGCTAAAACAAGATCGTCTCAAGCAGAGATGTTCTAAGAACTGCTCGTGCAAACCACAAAAGGTTCTGAGGACATGCTTTGGTGCGCCCAGGCCAGACAGGACGCCTCGCCACTGCTTGAACAATTGGCTCGACTGTGGTTGAAGTCTGGGCGCCCGCGCGGGCCGCCGGTGGCGCCGCAGCGCTGCGGGGCGCGGCCGCGGGAAGCGGCGCTCCACGGCTTGGGGGCGGAGGGCCGGCAACGCGCGGCGCGAGGGCGCGGCCTGCTCGCCTGCAGCGCGGTCAGCGGCGCGCGAGTGCATGGCGACGGCGTGGATAGGGGGCCACGTGCGAACCCTACCCCTATGGCCCCCACGATGCCTGAGGGGGAGGGTGGGGTTCACTTTGCTCGGGAGCTCCCGAACGAAGTGAACTCCACCCTCCCCCTTGAGAGAGCGTGGGGTGGTGGGGCAGGGTTCGCATGTGGGGGAGGAGGAGGAGGAGGAGGAGGAGGAGGAGGAGGAGGAGGAGGAGGAGGAGGAGGACGAGGACGAGGAGGAGGAGGAGGGGAGGAGGAGGAGGAGGAGGAGGAGGAGGAGGAGGAGGAGGAGGAGGAGGAGGAGGAGGAGGAGAGAGAGAGACACTCCCGCGGACGCGGGTCGCCGCCTCGGCGGCCGCCGCGCCGAGCGCCCGCGGGTCGCAGGCACTCAGCACCATCTCGTCGCCCAGCGCCATGCGGAGGACGAACGCGTGAGGCAATCTGAGGTTGCCCCCAACTCCTGGACCAGTCCACGTGGATGACCCAGTGCGCGCAGCACGGATGCTTCTGCACACTAGCGCGCGCCACGGCGTCGCACCGCGGCACCAGCGGCCCTGCCGCTGCCCTGCCGCCCTGCGGCCCGCCCCGCTGCCGCCCTGCCGCCATGCTTCCCCTTGCCCTTGCCCTTGAGCGCGAGCTCGCGGAAGCGGTCGAGCAGGAGCTGGAACTCCTCGGGGTCGTGCGGGATGTCGTCCCGCGTCAGGGTCAGGCCGAAACTCGGGCCCAGGGCCGCGAGCTCATCACGGAGCGCCTCGGCTCTCTCCATGGTGTAGTCCTCGTTCTCGTCGCTCTTGCCCAAGTCCTTGTCCTTGTCCTTGCCCTTGCTCCGACCTGTGCTGTTCGGCGGGCGGCCCCGCTGCACGGGCAGCTCGTCCGCCCAGGCGTCGTCCAGCATCATGGGCTCGGCCGACGCTGCTGCCCCCTCCGCCGCGTCGTCCACCATCAAACCCTCCTCGACCGTCTCCGTCTTGCTCCCATCGCCCGCCCTCGCACCACGCCCACGCGGGCGGCGCCGCCGCCGAGGGGCAGCGGGGGGCGCATCCGCCGCCGGCTGTGGCGGGGCGGGCGCACGGGGCGTCGCCAGCACGGCGACCGCCGTCCGGAGAAGGCCCTCGGCGGCGCGGATGAGGCGCACCGCCTCCCGCTGGCCGCCCGCCAGCCCAGCAGCCGCGTGCGTCGCCAGGACCGCGCCGCGCGCGGCCTCCAGCATCGCCCTCGCGGCGCGGGCGTCCTGCGTACCCTGCATCGGCCGGACGGCGGGCCGACGGCCCCGCGGCGGCTGACCTGAGCAAAGATGGTACTGGAGGAGGAGGAGGAGGAGGAGGAGGAGGAGGAGGAGGAGGAGGAGGAGGGGGGGGGTCGGGGTAGGCTTCGCATGTGGCCCCCTCGTGGAGGAGCGTGCGCGGCATCGGGTCAGCCCAGCACGCGGCGTGGCGTGGGACGGGCAAGGCTGGAGCGGCATCGCGCCAGTGCCTGGACTCCGTCAGGCGTGGAGCGACGTGCGAGCACTTGGCCGCGGGCTGGGCGGCGGTGCTGGACGTCGACCTCGGCGAGCTGCTCGTGGCCTCGGCGCCTGCTGCTGGCACGGCTGCAGCGGCCGCCAAAGCTTGCAGCGATGCGGTCGGCCTCGCCAGCACGACGCGGGAGCAGCGCATCTCAGAGGAGGTGGCTCGGCTTGGACCGAACGGGTCACGCTGAAGGACCAACCGGTGTCGAGGTCCGCCGTGCTGAGGCGGCTGCAGGACCTCGCAGCAGAGTGGAGCTCCTGACAGCGGACGGTTCGCTGGCTGGTAGCGCGGACCGCCTTGTGCTGGCAGGCGCAGGAGTTCGTGAGCGTGGCGGCGAAGACGCGCGGCGTGCTGATGCAGATCCTGCTCAGCAGCCGAGGACAAGCCTGAATCAGGGCCCTCAGCTGCAGCGGCTGAGGGCCGGCGCCTGCGACAGCCCGGCCAGTCGGGGTTCGCGGCTGCACGCGAAGGCGGTCGTGACGGACCTGGAGGTGGTGCTGGGCACGCCGGCGTCGCAGAGCAGGGCGGAGAGGGCGTTGCACACCCCTGGCCCGGGCCAGGCCCAGGCAGCGCCGTCCGCAAGAGCAGCTCGAGGCGCCCTGCGAGGCCGGCCAGAGGTCTCACAGTGGCCCCGGCAGGCCGGACCAGAGCACTCCGCCGAGAGGAACCTCGGCGCTGGTTGCAGCTGCCTCTCCTTCCGAATCGGCGCCGTGGATTAAGTCGGGCCTGTCCTCCCACAGAAGGATTTTGGACGAAAAATCAAAAATACCCCAACATACCCCAAAATGGTAAAACAAAAAAAAAATGCTCGAAAACTCGTCCCAGACTATTATTTGACTATTTTTGAATCCTCCCCCTGTAGAGGGACAGGCCCGACTTACGCCGTGGAGGTGGAGCGTCCAGCGGCTGCCTCGGGTGGGCGACGCTGGCGCGGGGGGGGGACGGCGGCGGTGTGCAAGCGGGCAGCCCGTCCTGGAGCGCCGGTGGCGACGGCCGCTGCTGCGATGATGCCCCGCGGAAGGGGCCGCCTTTGGAGGCCTGGAAATTGGCACCAACACCAGCACAGGGGCTTGCCTCCACATCGGCAAGATGATCCTAGATTACGGTGTTGGTGGTAATATTTCGGTCACCTTGGAAGCCAGAATATTACCACCATCACCGAGATCGGGATCTTCTTCCCTCGGTGGAGGCACACCGCCGAAATTGGTGTTGGTGTCAACCTCTAGGTCTGCGACGCCTGCAGTTCCTGAGGAAAGCTTCCGGGCTCAGGCGAATTCTGTCGGTGCCGCGGAGCGTGCTTCTCAGAGGACGGGGCACGTGGAAGCTCCGAAGCAGGGCACCAGCCGGGTTTTCGCTCTCTCCTTTCCTGTCCTCCTCCCGCTGGTTCTGGGCCCCTCCCCCCCGGGGGGCGCCCAGTGGTGCCCCGCGGGCGCCGCGAGGTGCCCCGCCGCTTGGCGCGTGCCCGGGGCCGCCGGGCCCGCCCCCTTGTTCCGGCCCCCGCCCTCTGGCAGGGAGCGGGGTGCGTCAACAGCGAGAGGGTGCGTGGCTGCTGCCGAGCGGGGCAGGCGTGCACACACGTGGGGCTCTGACGCCCCCGAGCGGGGCAGACGTGAAACGATGTGGGCTCCCAGCGCTCCAGACCGGGACGAGCGTGAACACACGCAAGTTGCTGGCACTTGCTGTGTTCGCATGCCGCTGCCATTTTCATTCGAGTCCTGACGAGCCCCAGCAGGGGCGAAACGTTGACACGCGTAGTGAAAAGGCACGGGCTTGAGAGCGCCATACGAGTAAGGTGAGCGGGGCCAGCGGCGCAAGCGAGAAACTCTGGGGGACGGCGCCTGGGGCGTGCTTTTGGGCCCGCCGTGGGCCTGGGCCCCGGGCCGACCGCCAGGCCGAGGCAGGCCCCCGTTGGCGGTCGGCGCTCGGGGGCCCGAGGGCACCCAGACTGCGAGAGCCCCTCGGACTACGACCACGGCCGACACTGCCTGCCACAACGGCGGGCACTGCTGACGAGACGACTGTGGCGAGGGGGATGGCGAGGCTGAGGTGGAGGAGGAGTCGTCGTCGTGCCCTCGTCAGTGGCCGCCGCCCCTTCGCATATTTTCCGCCAGTGCCTAGAGCCTAGAGTGCTGCCTTAACCTCCGCTCGCCCAGGCGGCTCTGACCGCCTGGCTGGGGTAGGGCTTCGACCCAACCCGACAAAATGAAGGACGACGACAGGGACGACTGCTAAGACGACGACAAGGAAGACGACGAGGAGGAGTCAGAGCGTAGGCTCGTCGCTCTTTTAGTGCGTCGCCGACCGGTGCACTCTGGACGACGACGTCACGCCCTCGAACCCTTAAGACCCTGACATACGGGTCCTCGAATCTCGAATTCTCGTGCCCCTCCGAGAAGACAAGCTCGAGGATCGAAGTTCCAAGCGTCTTTCTGTCTTTACATCACCTCTTTGGAGCTCATGGCACGCTCTCGTGGCCACAGCTGGAGACGTCTCGAAGCTCTGTCCACAATGAAAACCCAACATGGGTCTTAAACCCGAATGTGCAGCCCAAACCTCCCACGCAATGACAAACTCAAGGCGGAAATTCTTCGCGATGTTCGGCCCTGTGGGGCCGTTTCTAGGCCCAGGGCCGTCAGACAACGGCTCGCGGGATAAAGAACACTTCTGCAAGGCAAGGGAGGGGCCGGGAGCTCATGGGACCCACATGATTGCTTCATACATCTTGGTTGTCGTAATGCCATCAAGTTTTCCAGTGAATGTTCCAACACAAGACAAAGCAACTGCATGGGCTCGGTTTGCTGGTTGGCAACATTGTGTTCCGCGCAGGCTTGCACACAAGCAGCCTCACTTCGATCGTGGAGTTGTGCTGTGGACTGGGCTGTCCCATCGAAAGAAATTCTTCTCACATCACAACTCCGAATGTCTGATTCGCTTCCATCGTTGATCTGTTAACATAGAGGTGGTTATGAGGAAAACGTCGAAACAAAGATCCAGCTCATCTGTGCACGCGCGGTCTTGCGACAACGGGCGGCATCAACACGACGCAGAGGAGCGTCGTGGACTCGAGCGTTTGGCCTGGACGCACGTCGCGCCGCGGTCTGCTCGAGGATCCCAGACGTTGTCAGGGATCCTCGCAACCTCCTGCGCACCGCCGAGGGGCGCTCTGACCGACCACGGCCCGCCTTGATCCTTCGACGCATCTCCTCCTCGGTCTCCTCGTGCGCGGCGGCCGTAGTCGCCGGCATGAGCTCCTCCAGGACCTGCTTCCGGATCCTCTGCTCCGCCTCCTCCTTCGTCTCCTCGGGAGTGCGAGGAGAAGGCCCGAGGATCGAGGCCTTCGGGCGTCACTCTTGGCGGCGCGCCGTGGCGGGGAAAGGGAGGGGGGAAGGGCTCCTCAGAAGAAGGCTGCTCCTTAGAGGGCGCTGGCCTCACATCTGCAGACGAAGCCCACGCCCTCTGAGAAGCTGGGGTGCTTCTGAGAAGCCCTCCCCCTCCCACCTAATGCGGGATGACGATTCAGAAAAAAATGGGAGAGAACGATTAAAAACATAGTTTTCTGCTGCTTCTGCACAAGTTTCTGACGGGCGGAAAACGAGAAAGAAATAGCTCTCCAGCCCGCGGCCGGTCTTTTTCGAATCGTCATCCCGGGCGCCGCCGCGTGAACACGACCCCCGGTCATTTCTTAATCGTCCTCCCCCACCTACCACACTCCGCGCGTGGCCGAGGGAGGGAGGCCCGAGGACCGAGGCAGGCCTTCTGGCGTCCGTCTGCCGACCTGGGATATCCCCGGTCCAGCGGCCCGTCGCCGCGACCGGCTCTCCCCCGGAGCGCGGCTGGGGTCGGAGCGCACCGCCGGGGCGGGGTCCGGGGGCCAGTGCGTCGGGGAAGAACCAGCAGCAGTCGTGCCTACACGGCCACCCTCCGGGTGAGAAGGAGGTTTAGGGGGCCACGTGCGAACCCTACCCCTACCCCCCACGATTTCTGAGGGGCAGGGTGGGGTTCACTCCGCTCGGGAGCTCCCGAACGAAGTAAACCCCACCCTCCCCCTCAGAAATCGTGGGGCGTACTCCAGATTTCGTAATAAAAGGGAGGGGGTCTGGACCCTCCAGGACAAGCCATTTCAGGCCTCCCCCGTGGGAGGACCCTCCAAAACATCGTCCCCAGACCCCCCAGGCCCTCCAAGATAGCATGGAAGAGACCCCCCCCGAAATGAGACCCCCCTCCCTGTATTCCCAATATCCTAAGATGGGGTTATTGTTATTACTTGGACGCCTCCTACTCCTCCTTCTCCTCCCTCCTCCTCTTTTCTCCTCCCCTCCTGTCGGACTTACTCATACTCACACTTGCTCATACTCAGACTTACTCATACACAGACTTACTCATACTCAGATTTACTCATACTCAGACCTACTCATACTCAGACTTACTCACACTCAGACATACTCATACACAGACTTACTCATACACAGACTTACTCACACCCAGACGTACTCATACACAGACTCACTCATACCCAGATGTCTCAGGCGGGGCGCTGGTTTCAGCACCCCTAAGGGGAGCCGCCAGGGGTGGTTGCACGGGCTCGTTCGCGGCCATTTTGTGGGGATGTCTCGGCGGTTTGCTTGTTTCTGGGCCCAACATCCTTCGCTTGGAGAGCAGATTGTGAGGATGTCTCAGGCGGGGCGCTGGTTTCAGCACCCCTAAGGGGAGCCGCCAGGGGTGGTTGCACGGGCTCGTTCGCGGCCATTTTGTGGGGATGTCTCAGGCGGTTTGCTTGTTTCTGGGCTCAACATCCTTCGCTTGGAGAGCAGATTGTGAGGATGTCTCAGGCGGGGCGCTGGTTTCAGCACCCCTAAGGGGAGCCGCCAGGGGTGGTTGCACGGGCTCGTTCGCGGCCATTTTGTGGGGATGTTCCCGGCGGTTTGGTTTCGGTTTGCTGAGGATGTCTCTGGCGCTGGTTTCAGCACCCAGCCGCCAGGGGTGGTTGCACGGGCTCGTTCGCGGCCATTTTGTGGGGATGTCTCCGGCGGTTTGCTGTTTCTGGGCTCAACATCCTTCGCTTGGAGAGCAGATTGTGAGGATGTCTCAGGCGGGGCGCGGGTTTCAGCACCCCTAAGGGGAGCCGCCAGGGGTGGTTGCACGGGCTCGTTCGCGGCCATTTTGTGGGGATGTCTCAGGCGGTTTGCTTGTTTCTCGTGGCACTATCCTCCAACATGACATGCACTTATGGCCTTGTGTGGCTAAACGCTCGTCTTACATATCCCACTGCCAACTATCCTACAACATATGCACATGTGGGAAGCTCCAAAGCTACCACGGGCTGAAAAAGGGGAAGGCCTGGCAGCTGAGGAGGGGGGATGAAGAGGAAGAGGCTCGCATTCAACCATACTCAAAGCTCACTCTGACTCATACGCAATCACTCGCATTAGGGGTCACTCGTCTTCGTCGGCCCTGTCGCCCACGTGGACGCGCTATTGTAGTCGACCGCTCATGAACAGACGCTCACCACGGCATGACATAAAACATGAGATGCACATATGGGGAGCTCCACGCAGTGAGTAATTACGAAATCTGGAGTATGCATCGCAGGCTCATGGTAGGGAGGGAGGGATCGGCGGTGGACAAACCTCCCTTTAGTAAGCCTCCCTTCAGTGATAACGGCCCAGGACCGAAACCGACGGGCCCAGACCCGCAGAAATGACGGCCGCGACGCCCTCTCGCGAACCGAAAACGGCCAATCCACTAATCGACGCGTCAGGGTAGGAGGTCTGTCCACCCCCGAAGGGAGTAGAGAGGAGGGTGGACACTGGAGGAGATGGGAGGAGGAGAAGGACGGACGAGGGAACAGTGTGGGTGCGGTGCTGGCTTACGGGGGTCTTCTTCTGCGAGGGCAAGGGGAACAAAGCAAGAACCAGAACTGGCACGAGACCTTGATCGAAAAAATCATGCTCTCGAGGGGGAAAAAAAAGGGAGACCGGGAAACAGAACTCGAACCGAACTGGCACCAGAAGCAAGCCCAGGAGACTGGCCCGAACCAACAGAAGAATCAGGGGACCGTGACGAGAACGGGCACTGTGACCTGGGGTGTCTTGGGTCTTCTTCGGAAACGGACCGAAAGAAAAAGAAACCCGAACCGAAATCAGAACCCTGGGGGGTCTTCTTCAAGGCCAAAAAACAAACCGAAAGCAGAGCTGGAACAAGAACCGGAACCATAACAAGGACGTTGGGGGGTCTTCTTAGAGACCGGAAGGAACAAAACGGAGCTCGAGCAGGAACCGTGACTTGGTGCATCGCTGTCGAGACCAGAAGGAAAACACCCGAACCCTTCTTCGACTCCAGAAAGAACAAAAAACTGGCCAGAACCAGAACTGGAGCCAGAACCCAGACCTGAGGGGCTTTGTTCGAAACCGGAACCGAACCAAAATACTAAATGGAACGTTTTGGCGAAGTGAATATCGGAAGAGGAAACGAAACCAGAACTATAACTGGAACTGGAACCATAACTAGACGGCTTCTACGACAAGAAAAACGGGACCAGAACAGGAAGCGAAATTGTGACCGTGCATGAGGATCTGTTTGGATCCCAAAGAAGGCACGGATCAGAACCGGAACCCAAGTCATAACCGAAGCTGGATCCAAAACCGAAGCTAGAACCGACACCGAAACCGAACCCGAAACCGGAACTGGAACCGAAACTGGAACCAAAACCAAATCCACACCAATACGGAGGGGAGACACGGGAGACGACTGGATGGGATCAGCAGTACCACCAGAAATCTCTTCTCTGCACGTGGCCTTCTTGGCCTCCTCTGCATTGACCAGCTCCTCGAAGGTAACAGTCATGAGTTGGGCCTGCCGCAAGCCTTTGGCAATCGAATCCCTGTGGTGCTGTGCCGCGGAAAGGTCGCTGCTCTGCGTCGCTCTCCGCCTCCTGAGCACCCTCGAAGCGTTTGGTGGCGCGGGCAATAGATGCTGACTGGTTCGACATTTTCTCCTTGACCGGGGCAGGCGTTCAAGCGTATAGATGCATGAGCTGCAGGACGCTGTGCTCCGCCCGCAGCTCCTTTGAAACTTTGGCTGAGATGCACTGGCCCCAAGAACGGATCTGGCATTCAACGACATTTCGACCGAATGCGTGGCCGACTTGATACGCTGACGATGTATTTCTCTTTCCGCTGTCGAGATGGCGGGTCCACCCAAAACTTGCGCTGCTGAGCCTCGGAGAGAGACGCGACGAAGGTAGTGGGTACTTGCGCAGCAGACGATGGCTGAGAGACGTCCTGGCTGACGCTGTCCCGGCGACCTCTGAATTCCGATGGGGCCATTGGTGTGGAACGATATCGTCGACGACGAGCTTTGGAGCTGGGGTAGCAGGTAGAGCCCCAGCAGCATGCCACGTACCACAGTTGAGCAGATCCATGAGCTGGATTGCTGCCGTGGCGCTGACATACTTGTGCCGCTGCTGTGATGATCTGAAAATGCTGCCTTGGCAGCGGCATGCGGACTAACGTGCGTGCTTGGCTGCGGCGCTCCCTGGCGCGTCGATGCCAGGCGGATTCGTGAACACGCCCTTGGCGAGTCATATCTGGGCGGCGGTGCCGCGCAAGCCTGCGAAGACAGGAGCGGCACGGCCAGCCTCGCTATAGCAGGGTGCGCGTCGGCGCGTATGGCTGCTGTCCCGAGGAAGGCCCGCCATTCCCTGTCAACGGCACCCAAGACCCCCGAACTGGGACAGCGGCTGGGGAGGTTGGACGTAGGAGGGAGGAGGAACGTGGAGGGAGGACGGAGGAGTAAGCAAGGACGCGCGGAGGGAGGAGGCAGGAGTGACGTGGAGGGAGGAGGCACAAGGGACGTGGGGGGAGGAGGGAGGGCGGAGGAGTAGGAGTGAGGAGGAGGAGGAGGGACGACGGATGAGGACAAAAGAGGAGCGATGAGTGACAAATGCGCAGACAGGGGTGACGGAGGGAGTAGAAGTGAGGAGGATCAGGACGGTCGAGAACTGAACTGAGGAGGAAAAGTATGAACATGAGGCTGGAGGCCAGAGGAAGGACGTCCTCCGTCCCTGCAAGCTGCTTTGGGTCGATCCCCGCTGGCGCCATCACAAGGCCGTCACTGCCCACATCCGGCATGGGCTCGTCGACGTACATCTTCTCCGCCTGCTTCCTCTGCTCCTGAGAAAGCCGCGGAAGGCTCCTGGCCAGCGCCACCCCGTGCCCTGGCACGATGCACAACTACGCCCTCCTGGCCGAGGCCAGGAGGGTGTGTGCGCCATCCTCGGGCACAGGATGTCCTTGGCCAGACACCGGGGTTGTGTATAGATGCCTTCTGTGGAGAGAAAGCCGCAAGACAAAACATACGCTCTGGACGTCCTTGGCATGAAGGAAAAACAGGTTCTAGAGGAACCAGATCCTGAGTCTCAGAGCCTCTTCCCGAGTGATGTTTTGACGGCCCCATGGCACTAGGAGGACCCAGGACGCCGAAAACTTAGAAAAATCTATCGGCCCCAGCGCTTTCATGGATAATCCCGCGATTAGTTTCTCCGCCGGAGCTGGGCCCCGTTTCCGCACCCTTGGGCTGCCTCTCCGCCGCCGCCCGCTGGCGCGCTTTCCGCGCCAGGAAAGAGTGTGCAGAGTGGGTTCGGCCCCGGCGGAGGGACCGTCCTGGGATGACCGGAGTTCAATCGAGTACCTCAAGCCGCTGTCTGGTTCCCTGGCTCCTCTTTCTCCCGCTCCTCCTCCTCCTCCTTCGCCTTGGCCTCCTCCTCCTTCGCCATGGCCGCCAGCTCCTCCTTCCTCGCCTGGGCCTTCAGCTTCTCGACATGGCGCTGGGTCCACACGAAGTAACGCACGGATTCTTTCTTCAGGGCGGCCTTCGGGGGCGGCCAAGAGGGGGGTGTCCAAGAGGGGGGGGGGGGGGGGGGGGCAAATCATGACCGGCGGCATGTGCGCGGCCCAGCGGGGGGGCCAGGGACGTAATGAAATGAGAAGAGGCGCCATGAAATCTGGGGAAATATCATGGCCAACGCCATGATATCCACCCCCCCTAGTCGTCACCCCCCTCTTTTCCGCCCCCGAGGCCTGCTGCATCCCAGTCTCGGGCAGCTTCTGGGCAAGGACGCCCTCGCACTGCAGCCTGAGGTCGCCGAAGGTCTCCGCGGTCGCCTCGCGCGCCATGTCCCGGAGGCAGGCCAGCACCTCGCGCGCCGCGTCCGTGCTCGGGGCCAGGTCCGACTCCTGGAGGTCATCCTCCTGGCGGCGCGCACAACTTAACGGGCGAAGAACGGTATAACATAAACTGTTCGCCGTCGGGGACACCTGCCCCAGAGCGGCTGGAAAGTTTATACCCTTACGGTGGCACCCTAGGGGTATAAACTTTCCAGCCGCCCAGGGGCAGGTGTCCCCGACGGCGGAAAGTTTATTTTACACCGTTCTTCGCTCGCTGAACAACGGGGTGGGGCGAGCATGGGCGCTCTAGGATTCGAGCGTGGCCTCTCGCGCGCGCCTGCATAGGGGGCACGACACCAGGGGAAAAGAACACGGCCAGCGACGACAGTGGCGACAAAGACGAAAGACGACGGCGAGGACGACAAATGCCACGACGACGAGAGGCGAACGAACGCAGCGGCGCGAACGGCGACGACGGGCGAGGTGAAACACCTGAGAAGGCAGCAGGCTCCTGAGAGAGGTCATGAGAAGCCGGGAGGGCCTCGAAGACCCGCTGCTGATCATAAGCCATGACGTGTTGCGTCCCTCCTGGGAACTTCGCGTCGCTATTGCGACGTTGTTCCTGAGAGATCATTAGAAGCCAGGAGGGCCTCTAAGACCCACTACTGATCATGAGCCATGATGATATACGTCCCTACTGGGAACTTCGCGTCGCTATTGCGACGTTGTTCCTGAGAGAAATCGTCAGAAGCCAGGAGGGCTTCGAAGACCCAGGACTGAGCACAGGTCACGATGTGGTGCGTCTCGACAGTGCGCGCCGCTACTGCGACGCAGATACCACCCAGGAGCGAGGCAGGCCCCTCGCCCCGCCTGCCTGCCCCGCCCGCGCCCGCCCAGCGGACCAAGCGCCGCGCGCTTGGTGTGTAGTTCAGCTCTGTTGGCGCCTCAGCGACGCACGCTGCACAGCAGCAGTCGTGCCTACACGGCCACCCTCCGGGTGAGAAGGAGGTTTAGGGGGCCACGTGCGAACCCTACCCCTACCCCCCACGATTTCTGAGGGGCAGGGTGGGGTTCACTCCGCTCGGGAGCTCCCGAACGAAGTGAACCCCACCCTCCCCCTCAGAAATCGTGGGGCGTACTCCAGATTTCGTAATAAAAGGGAGGGGGTCTGGACCCTCCAGGACAAGCCATTTCAGACCTCCCCCGTGGGAGAACCCTCCAAAACATCGTCCCCAGACCCCCCAGGCCCTCCAAGATAGCCTGGAAGAGACCCCCCCACGAAATGAGACCCCCCTCCCTTTATTACGAAATCTGGAGTAGGGGTAGGGTTCGCATGTGGCCCTCGAAGGTTGCCGCAACTCCCCTTGCGCCTGGGGCGGGCGCCTGCAGACGGCGAGCGGCACTGACCCCCGCTGCCGCTGCGGCCTCCGCATCCTCCCCACGGGGCCCAGCTCCAACGCCCCGGAGGCGGCTCCCGAGACCACGCCTCGGACTGCGAAGCGGTGCGCTACCACGCGGGGGCGACGGAACCGAGGCCCGCTCACACCCCGCCGCTCGGAACTGGCGGTGCCGGCTGGAGCAGCCCTGAGCGATGGGGGGGGCAACCACCGGTACCTTTCCGCTGGGCCGGAACGGCTATCACAGAGAGTGGGAGGAGGAGGAGGAGGAGGAGGAGGAGGAGGAGGAGGAGGAGGATTCTGCGACGTCCAGCCTCAAGCTTGCGCTTGCACCTGATTCATGGATTCCCAAGCCCATGTGAGGCAGATTGAGGCGGATACTGAATGACTGCACGCACAGCTCTCCACCCTTCGCACCGCCGCCACGGTCATGATCATCTTTCAGCTTGTCATAGAACGGCGTGGCCCATTTCACAGACTCGACACCATTGCCAACCTCTGCGGCAGCCCTGTGCCATCGCGTACCTGTCCACGCAGAACTTCGAACTCAGCAGAGCACGGGACAATCGGAAGACTAGCCACTTCTGAGTCGAAACGACCAGCCACTCCCGTACACTGGGTGCGCACCAATAGAAACCAGAAGAAAGAGAAGAAAACGAGCTCCCGAAGAGGCTCATCGAGTCCCCCAGGAGTCCTGCGACAGTGCTGGAAGGCAGTGCCACCGGGCTGTCGCGAAGAACGGCCTGAGATTGCTCTCGAAAAACTCTTTCGAATCCTTCATACGCGCAACGCAGAGTCGATCCGAAATGTACAGTCGGGACGTTGACCTAAGGAACGATAAATAAGGAACGAGGCCCCTTTTTCCCATATAGTAAACCCCGATTTGCCATGGAAAACCTCAGGAAAACCCAAGGAGCACTGTAAAGCAACTAAGGAACACGGAGCCCCTCCCCAACCAAGAGGGTTCCTTCTTCTGGGCCCCGACTGTATGTCAATACCCTGGGCAGGGAAGAGCAGAAGCTGCACAGGCCTGCCCCTCCCCTGCAACTGGACGGAGGCAGAGAAGAGGCGAGCGGTGCCGCCATTCGACGTTGGCCGCTCCAAGAAACTGGTCAGACGGCTTAGTGGGCCCTGGAAACGACAGGGCCCACTAAGCCGTTCTGCCGTTCCTGTTGCCTGTTCCGACGCCGTTTTTGTTACCGGTTCCGTCGCCGTTGTTTGACCGGTTCCGGCTCCAGTTCCAATCCTGGAGCCGTTTTTGTTGCCGTTTCAGGTCGCCGGCTTTTTGCCGTTTCCATTTTCAAGGGACATTTTTTGGAAACGGTGAAAATACGGCCCTGCCGTTTCCGGGGCCCACAAAGGTCAGACGGTCCTCGGTAACGTGGCGCTGCTGCCACATTCCTCATGGCAGGCGCTCTCAAACGACGCTGGCTCCTTTGAGCCATGCAATAGCATAAGACACATGGGAACTATTCGAACCAGGGCACCCCAAGGCCACTTGCTCCGACAGCAGCCAGTCTGTCATCTACTTCAACTGGCGGTGCGACGGGTGCGCTGGTGGCATGCAGAGCAACTACTTCAGCGTGGCATTGAGGCTACCAGAAACTGGGCAATCGCGGAGATGCGGCCTCCGACCTGGAGAAGCGAGCCCGCCAAACAGTGGCGAAGAGGGTCAGACGGTCGAGCAGGATAGAGGCGTGATAAGCCGTGTGCGCTCGTCCAGCATGGTCTGTGTAAAAGCGACAGCTGTCTTAGGCCGGATCGGCGGCGGCTACAGCTTCCCCTCAGCGCTCGGGGGTTCGGGAGCAGGCTGGAGGGAGGAAGACTGAGAGGGGAGTGAGGAACCCGAATGAAAGAGGGAGAAGAGACAAAAAAGGCGACGTGAAGGAGTACTAAGAAAGGAAGAGCGAAGAGCGAAGAAGGAGGAAGGACGGAGGATGAAGGAGCCCGCCTCCCTTCCTCCAGCTCCTCCTCCTCCTCCTCCTCCTCCTCTTCGTCCTCCTCCACTTCCTAACCCCCCCTACCCCTTCATCGAAAGGCTTCAATGTGGCCATCTAGGGGCTGTCTTGTGAAAGCATCTGCGACCTTCTTGGGCCTCCTTGGGCGTTCGCGAGGCCGTCTTGGAGCCCTGCGCCAATGAGGCATCTCGAGGCCGTCGTGGCCTTTTGGCCCACCGACAGCACGGTGTCGTCTTGGGAGGAGGTGGACGGGAAGGCGGGTGGCGGGGGGGGCCGGCCAGGGGGTGCTTTCCTATCCATCTCTGCGGCCCCCCAGGTTGCAGGCCGACTGGGAACCACCTCCCGGCCCTCGAGCCGAGTACGGCTGGTACGAGGAGGACGAGGACGAGGACGAGGTGGACGGGAAGAAGGGAGGGGAGGGGAGGGGAGAGGAGAGGGACGAGGACGAGGTGGACAGAAAAAGGTAGGCAGGCAGAAGGGAGGGGAAAGAGGGATGGAGGACTCACGAGCGAGGAGGGGCTCGGAGGAGGAAGGGCGCCAGGGGGTAAACACACGAGAAGAGGACCAGGACGAGGAGGAGGCGGAAGCGGGGAGGAGGCCTCCTCCCTCCTCCCTCGTCCCTCCTCCCTCCTCCCTCCTCCCTCCTCGTGAAGAGAGGAGGGAACGGAGGGAATGTCTACACGGTGGGAGAGAGGCAGGATCTGGAGGAGGAGATGGCGCTAGTAAAAAAGCGATACAAGATGGAGGAGCATCGAGGGCACGGAATGGACCATTCGGAATGGAGATGAGGGGGGGCGGGGGAAGAGGCGGAAAGGAACAGAAGGGAGAGGCAGGAGAGAGAGAGAGAGAGTGAGGGAGCGAGGAAGAGAGAAGAGGGAAGATGGAGAAGGCCGTCTTCAGCTCCACCCGTGGCTGCCTTGGGCTATCCCTGGGCGCTCGTGGGGCCCTCGTGGAGCGGCGTTTGGGTACAATTTGGGCTCCTCCGGGGCTCTCCTGGGGGCCGTGTGGCATTCAAAAGTTCGGAATCCGAGCAATGTTCGCTCATTGGTTTGGTCGTCTGGGGCTCCGTTCTGGGCCATCTTGTGGCCTCCAAAAGCGTCTTGGACTCGTGGAGCACCCTGGCGGGGGCATGTGGGTCGCCATGGCGGTTTCAGGAGCCTCGGAGGAGGCTCCAGCGAGAGTAGATCCTGACCGTGGGGAGCTTTGCGCTCAACCGTGGGTGATTGAGTGCACGCTGTGAGTGCACGCTGTGGGTGCACGCTGTGGTGAGCGCACGCTGTGAGTGCACGCTGTGACACGCAGTGGTGAGTACACGCTGTGAGCGCACGCTATGAGTGCACGCTGTGGTGAGTGCACGCTGTGAGTGCACGCTGCGGTGAGGGCACGCTGTGAGTGCACGCTGCGAGTGCATGCTGTGAGTGCACGCGGCGTCGAGGGCTCGCTGAGCTGATGAGCGCGCTAGCACAGCGTGGGCTCACAGCGTGGGCTCACAGCGTGGACTCACAGCGCGGGCTCACAGCGTAGGCTCACAGCGTGGGCTCACAGCGTGTGCTCGCAGCGTGGGCTCACAGCGTGGGCTCGCAGCGTGGGCTCACAGCGTGGGCTCACAGCGTGGGCTCACAGCGTGGGCTCACAGCGTGGGCTCACAGCGTGGGCTCACCACGGCGGGCACGCACAGCAGCGTGGGCCAATCACGCTGTGAATGCACGCTTTGAGTGCACGCTGTGAGCGCACGCTCCGCGCCACCCGGTGAGAAAAACCGTGAGCGCACGCTGTGAGTGCACGCTGTGGGCCCGACGGAATCTCGAATTGCTTACGCGCTGGATTTCTCCGCACGGTCCGAGAGTGATTTCCTCTGTGGTGTGTGTGCGTGTGTGTGTGTGTGTGCGTGCGTTTGTGTGTGGTGGTGGTGGGAGTGGTGGTGGCGGTGATTGTGGTGGTGGTGGTGGCGTTGGTGGTGGCGGTGTCGTTGGCGGTGGTGATGGTGGTGTGGTGGTGGGGTGGTGGGGTGTGTGTGTGTGTGTGCGTATGTGCGTGGTGGATGTTGTGCGGTGTGCGGCGTGCGGTGTGCGGTGTGCGGTGGGCGGTGTGTGGTGTATGGTGTGTGGCGTGTGGTGTGTGATGCGCGGTGGGTGCTGTGTGGCGCGTGGCGGGTGGTCTGTGGTGGGTGGTGGTGGGTGGTGTGTGTGTGGTGTGGGAGGTGTGGTGTGTGGTGTGTGGTGTGTGGTGTGTGGTGTGTGGTGCGTGGTGTGTGGCGTGTGGTGTGTGGTGTGTGGCGTGTGGTGTGTTGTGTGTCGTGTGTTGCGTGTGGTGTATTGCGGGTGGTGTGTTGCGTGTGGTGTGATGCGTGTGGTGCGTTGCGTGTGGAGTGTTGCGTGCGGTATGTTGCGTGTCGTGTGTGCGTGTGGTGTGTTGCGTGTGGTGTGTGGCATGTGGTGTGTTGCGTGTGGTGTGTTACGTGAAGTGTGTGTATGTGTGGTGTGGTGTGTTGCGTGTGGTGTGTTGCGTGTGGTGTGTTGCGTGTCGTGTGTGGCGTGTGGTGTGTTGCGTGTGGTGTGTTGCGTGTGGTGTACTGCGCGCTGTATGTTGCGTGCCGTGTGTGTGTGGCGTGTGGTGTGTTGCGTGTGGTGTGTTGCGTGTGGTGTGTTGCGTGTGGTGCGTTGCGTGATGTGTGTTGCGTGTGGTGTCGGAGTGTTGCGTCTGGTGAGTGGCATGCGGTGTGTTGCTTGTGGTGTGTTGCGCGTGTGCTGTGTTGCGTGGGCGGTGTGTTGCGCGTGGTGTTTTGCGTGGGCTCACAGCGTGGGCTCACAGCGTGTGCTCACAGCGTGGGCTCATAGCGTGGTCTCGCAGCGTGGGCTCACAGCGTGGGCTCATAGCGTGGTCTCGCAGCGTGGGCTCACAGCGTGGGCTCACAGCGTGGGCTCACAGCGTGTGCTCACAGCGTGGGCTCACAGCGTGCACTCACAGCGTGGGCTCACAGCGTGCACTCACAGCGTGGGCTCACAGCGTGGGCTCACAGCGTGGGCTCACAGCGTGGGCTCAACACAGCGAGCACTCACAGCGTGGGCTCACAGCGTACACTCAACACAGCGTGCACTCACAGCGTGCACTCACAGCGTGCACTCAATCACTCACGGTTAAGCGAAATTCCGCTCACGGTTAAGCGAAAAGCTACTCACTGTCTGGATTCCCCTTCGGCTCCAGCAGGGGCGGCTTTTTGTTTCTAGCTTGTTACGGTTGGTGCCCGTGTGTGGTGGGGGGGGGGGCGGGGGGGGGATGCGCCGATGCGCCCCCTCCCCCAGCCGACGCTCGCGTACCTTAGAGATGCCGGGGGGGGGGCCTTTCAAAAGGGCCCAGAGGCTTCTGAGACGGCTTCCAGGAAGGCAGGAGTGCTAGCAAGACGCCGCCTCCAGATGGCAGAGTGCATGGCAGGCCAACGGGGCCGTCGTCTTCCAAGAGGGCGCCGCCAGTGGCGAAAGGGGAGGCCTGCATGGACTTGTGGGGGGACTCGGGACCGGGGGGTGGGTTCTTACACCCTCTCGGGTGCCTCCTGGGAGAGCGTGTGTGGATCCAGGGGGGGACTTCAGGGGAACAAAAAGTGGCATAAACATAAAAACTCGGAGGTCCGCGCGGATTTCTCAGATCGGCGCTGGGGCCCCCTCCCTGGCGCGCGGACCTCCGAGTTTTTATGTTTGTGCCACTTTCTGTTCCCCGAGACTTGGGCTTCGGGGAGTCTCTTCCAGCCTCGCCGGCGCCTCCCGGGCTGGCCCCCCTCGCCGCCCCCTGGCCGCCGCCCCCCTCCCTCCGCGGGGGGGATCCTCCTCCTCCTCCTCCTCCTCCTCCTCCTCCTCGTCGTCCTCCTCCTCCTCCTCCTATTCCTCCTCCTCTTCCTCCTCCTCCCCCTCCTCCTCCTCCTCCTATTCCTCCTCCTCTTCCTCCTCCGCCTCCTCCTCCTCCTCCTCCTCCTCACCCCTCCTCCTCCTCCTCCTCCTCCTCCTCCTCCTCCTCCTCCTCCTCCCCTCACTCCTCTCCTCCTCCTCCTCCTCCTCCTCCCCCCTCCTCCTCCGCCTCCTCCTCCTCCTCCTCCTCCTCTCTCCTCTCTCCTCCTCCTCCTCCTCCTCCTCCCCCTCCCTCCTCCTCCAGCGCCGCGCCGCCGCTCCTCCGCGGCGGCGCTGGGCGCCTCCCGGGGCCACTCGGGGCCTCGTCGGGCGCCGCAGCGGCGGGCGCCGCAGCGGCGGGCGCCCGCAGCGGCGGGCGCCGCACCTCGGGCGCCGCAGCGGCGGGCGCCGCACGGCGGCGCCGCAGCGGCGCCGCAGCGGCGGGCGCCGCCGGGGCGGCGGCGTCCTGCGCCGTCGCCGCGGCGGCCGCGCCCGGAGCCGCGTCGGGCACGGCCTCGGCGGCGGCGGCCTGCGCCCTCGCCTCGGCGGCGGCCGCGGTGGGGCCGACGCCCAACTGACCAGCCTCGAACGTACCCCGATGCCTAAGATTGGCACGCCAAAAGGCGATGACAATCTTGGGGATCCGCCCTCAAAAAGTAAGGGAATCCCTGAGATTGGCATCGTGATGAGGAGGTGCCCAGCATAGGGATAGGGAGATGTCCCAGGCTGGTAACCAACGGACCTCCAAACGTACTTCCTCGCGCGTGGCCCCCAGGGAACTCTCGCGACCATGCGAAGACAAGCCGAGGGAAAAGGGAGGGCCGAGAACTGTGGGCCACTGGCCTCGAGTAGCCCGAGGGTTCTGGTGAGCAGCCTCCCGCGCATCGACGTCAATCAGGCAGGGCAGAGCTTACGGTGCGCAGCACGGTCTCAAGCGAACATCACAGCATGTGAAGTGCTGGAAGGCGCGCGCATGCGAGAGAAGAAGAGAAGGAGACGAGTTTGAGGCCAGGCACGAGGGAGAAGGAATAAAAGGATGCCTTCCTCGCCGAAAAGCGGTACGGTCGGACCTGGGCAACAACACATAGAGAACACCCCCGGGTCCCCCTCCTCAGGATGCTCACGAACATCCAACAAGCACGCAGGACACCAGGGTACCAAGAGTACCCAGGGTAATTACCGAGGCACAGGATCGAGGCCGGCTCGGGGAGGGTCACCCTCCCCGAACCGACCCCGAGCTTACGAACCGAAGATTCCGAGACTTGTTTCTACCATTCTCGGATTTGGACGCCCGAAATGGGTACCGAAAAAATGGGTACAATGCCCAACAGCAAATGTTGTCCCAAACCAACAGCGGCCGCTGTTGGGCAGGCGGCCCTCTGTCCCAAATGGACACAGGCCGCGGCGGCGTGGACAGCGAATCCTGTCCAAATTGAACAGGAACTGCTGTTGGGCACTGTACCCATTCTTTCAACACCCCTTTCGGGCGTCCAGATCGGAGATTCCCCCTCTGCAGAGGGGCAGGCCCGACTTCTCACTGCACGCGCTCCACAGCGGCGCGAGCCTCCTGCCTTGGGGCCTCCGCGCCACCTCCGCGCCACCTCCGGCAGGCCCGGCGAGGCACGCGGGAGGGGCCCGGCCCTGCCCGAGCAGGGGCCCCAGACCACGGGGAGCGGGGCGGGGGGCCGGACGGCACCAGTACAGGGCAGGTTTTAGTACATAGGATGTTTTAAACAAACATATGATGATTTAATACATGACTAATTCATGAACAAATGTATGCATGAACTCATCGTTGTTTTTAACGCTAAATCCCTGCATTTTTTGTACATGATCCGCACGCGGAGCATGTATTAAAGACGGCACTGTACGGAGGAGGAGGAGGAGGAGGAGGAGGAGGAGGACACCTTCGAGAAGGAGCCCCAGGGTCTCGCGGCCGATGGGCAGCCAGACGCGGGCCGCCCACCTCGCCTGGAAACAGTCGGAGGAGCACGAAAAATCGTGCGCTGACTATTTCCTGACCATTCTCGAACATTCTTCCTGTAGAGGGACATGCCCGACTTAATGATATAGAGAGGGATAGAGACAGACAAAGAGAGAGAGAGAGAGAGAGAACAAAAAAAAAAAAAAAAAAAAACAAGTGGAACGCGTTGTTGTACGATTCGCGATACTGGCCGTTACCGGGGATGCTACCCCCCTCACCCCTTCTCCTGGTAAGGTCACGGTTCGCGCAGGCGCCGTTTGGGAACTGCTGGGGGGAGCTAATTCCAGCCCCCTCGCCCACACCCCCTCACCCCCCCAGCAACGGCCGTGGCGCAACGTGTGCAGCAGTCAAGTCGACAAGTACAACATTAAAACCATCAACCACGGACTCTCCCCGGAGTGGTGGCTCCCCAGCTCCCACGCCGCTTATGGAGCCCCCTCTGGGCCTCGTCTCGGGCTTGGGCCTGGTTGTCCACCAGCGGAAGGGGCATCGCCTCCTCGGGCACGACCGTGGTTGTCGGGTCGTGCACGCGCTTCGCGAACGTCGAGGAGCCCTGGTTGTCGGTGGTGAACACTTTCGCCACGTAGCCGTCCCACTGGCCTTGAAGAACACAAAACAAACAGCAACTGCTACAGATGCGAACTTTCCGAGGTCCGCGCGGATCTCTTGGGTCGGGGCTGGATCCGCCTCCTCCGGCGCGCTTCGCAAGCCAAAGGCGCCACCAGAGGCGCCGCTAATGGCTCCAGCGCCGACCCCAAAAAATCCAATCGGGCCTCCAAGGGTTTGTGCTGATGTCGCTTCTTGTTCCCTTCGAGTGCCGGAAAGATATTTGCCCATCTCTTCAATGGACATGTCCTCAACCCTCTTCTTCGTGCGGAGGCCCTCGGGATTCTTGGCCAGCTCGTCCAGGGGCACGTGACTCCCGGGGCAGGGCTTCGTGCAGCCAGACCGGTTGTTCAGGTAGAGGAACTCCTGGATGTCCTTGAAGCTGGAGCTCTCCTTGAGGCCTGGCGGACAACACTTTTGATTCGCGGGTCGAGAGCGCACCTCTTCCGGTCGAAGCTGAGCGGGCCGCGCAGAGTTTGGATTACGCAGAGAAGGGGAAGGAAAAGGGGAGGGGCAGCCTCAGAGCGAGGCCGGGAGGAGACAAAGCCCCGGAACCAGGCGGTGCCGAAGCCTGGCGGACAACACACAGATAAAAAACAGCGCGCGTCGGAGGTCCGCGCGGAGATTGCTCGGGTCCGCACAGAGCCACCCTTTTGGCGGCACCCTGGGCGCCGCCCCTGCCGCGCCCCGCGCACCAGCGCAGGGGCTCCAGCGCGGGCCCAAGAGATATGCGCGCACCTCCAACCAAGTTTGCAGTGGAGGCCAGTCCAGAGGAAACCTTCCCCAGGAAATCCCAACCCTGAGACACCAGGACGTCCCTGGATGTTCAGCGCGGGGGCGTCGCGCTTCCCCTGGCAAAGCCATCGCAACCCAAGAAGCCCAGGGCACCCTGGAGGCAAGCAGGGTGTTTCCTGGCATGGGTCTCCACTACATGTGAATGCAGATCTTCCACCCGAGGGCCATCGTACAAAGCGTGGTGCATCTTGACGCCCCCTGCAACGCCAAATGCCACATCGTTGTAGCACTGTGTCTCCGGCTTCGCGTCCATGCAGTCATCACCTGCCACGTCGGCGATGACGACGATCCGAATTCGCTCAAGAGCCATTCCCCCACCCCTCATGTGTTCCATCCTGTGCATGGTGTCCATCCTGAATCGAGACTCCTGACAGTACTGGCCCCGAAACGGGTCTCCATAAGCAGGACATTACAAAACAAATGTTCGAACCTCGACGACGACGACGACGACGACGACCACCACCACCACCACGACCACGGCAATCACGACGACCTTCGTCCTGCGCGTGCTCCTCTGGCTTCTCGGGCTTCTCGGTGGCCTGCTCCACCTTCTCACGGGCGACGTCGTCCACTGACTCCGGCGCGGCGCCACTCATCTAGGAAGGCGCCAACCACACAGCCTACAACACCGATCCTCGCCAGGCCCACCCTGGGCCCAGCACCGGTGTGACCGCGCCCTCCCGGCTGGGCTGAAGAGGCCTGTGACCGCTGCTGGGCCCAGGATCGGCCTGGCCGGGATCGATGCTGGTGTACAGATGGCGCCCCCAGATCATCCAGGCCTCCGCCGCCGTGGCAGCGGCCTCCTCTGGGAGCCCCCGAACCGGGCGGTGAGATGTCAGGTGGTGACCTGGAATCTCCAAACTCGCCATCGCTCGGACGTCCATTTTTTGTGTTTTTTTCGGTTTCATGCGAGGTTTTTTCGCCAAATGGTCAAGGATGTTCCTCGATGGCCCTCGCCGAAGGAAAAATGCACACTACGAGCGATGCCAAGCAAAGAGTCACCGCCGGGTTTTGGGACACGGAGTCACCGCCGGGTTCTGTGACGCCTGGACCCACCGGCGCTCGGGACGTCCTCGAGAAACCACACGAGTCCCCAAGCTGGTTGGTGACACCAATTCGCCCGAGACTCACCGCCAGTTGTTGACACCACCACCTTTTGGGGACTGCCAGCTCCTGCTGCTCGGTGAGCGCGCACGGCCTGGGGCAGTCAGCCCTGCCAGTGCGGTGCAGCTCCGACTGGATCGTGGGCGTGCTGGAGTTGGCCGTGAGGCCCGGATACCAGTCGGGGTGTAGCCCAAAGCCCACGCTCCTGAGCCAGGACAGCCCCTCGTAGCACAGGTCCCCCTGGACCGTGTCGCGGCAGTCGAACTTGGGCTGCCTCAGCTCGGCTGCCGTGGGCGCCCGCGGCGCGCTCGCGAAGCAGGGCCTGGGGCATGACGCCTTCCCGAGGCCGTAGAGCATGTCCTGCACGTCCTCTATGACGGCTTGGGGCTGCGCGCGGACAGCCCTCAGGAAGTGGTCCAGGTTGGCCTCCGTGGGCCCCAGGGTACCGCCCCAAAGAAGGCCCCAAGGTGGCCCCAAGATGGCCCCGAGAGGGGCGCCAGGGGCCCCAAGATCCTCCCGAGATTGCCCGATGGGTGGCCACCAAGATGCCCTCGAGAGGTCCCAAAGGTGCCCCCCCCAAGAAGCCCCAGTGCAGCCCAGCGCTCTCAGCACCCCGATCCCTGGGCGCGGGGCTCCCCTGGGGGCATCCGTCAGTGGCAGCGCGGGGATGCCGAGACCGCCTTGGACCGCCCCCAGGGGGTCCTGCCGAGGCCAGCCCGGATCACAGGGGTCGCCCGTGCGCAGCCCCGAGCGCCCTGCTGTCCTCGGCGCTGGTCTCGCTGGTGTAGCCGGGGTACCAGCTAGGGTGCTTCTTGAAGATCTCCGAGCGGAGCCAGGCCACCGCATCGTAACACGTAGACCCCACCCTCGCATCCTGCCGTTCCACATCATCCTCCTTCCCCTCCTCTTCCACCCCAACCTCCTGCTCCTCCTCCTCCTCCTCCTCCTCCTCCTCCTCCTCCCCCTCCTCCTCCTCCTCCTCCCCCTCCTCCTCCTCCTCCTCCTCCTCCTCCTCCTCCTCCTCCTCCTCTCGTCCTCCTCCTCCTCCTCCTCCTCCTCCTCCTCCTCCCCTCCTCCTCCTCCCCCTCCCCTCCTCCTCCTCCTCCTCCTCCTCCTCCTCCTCCTCCTCCTCCTCCTCCTCCTCCTCCTCTCCGCCTCCTCCTCCTCCCTCCTCCTCTCCTCCTCCTCCTCTCCTCCTCCTCCTCCTCGTCCTCCCCCTCCTCCTCCCCTCCCCTCCCTCCTCTTCCTCCTCCTCCTCCTCTCCTCTCCTCCTCCTCCTCATCCTCCTCCTCCTCCTCCTCCTCCTCCTCCTCCTCCTCCTCCTCCTCCTCCTCCTCCTCCTCCTCCTCCTCCTCCTCTCCTCCCCTCCCCTCCTCCTCCTCCTCCTCCTCCTCCTCCTCCTCCTCCTCCTCCTCCTCCTCCTCCTCCTCCTTCACTCCCCACCCTCCCCCACCCCCCTCCGTCTCGGCAACATGGTGCGACAGTTTGGCCTTGGCGGAATGCACCGCAAGTGAAACGCATTATGAAATACCATCCCTCTGGGTCAGAGGACGACCAAGCGGCAAACTTACACCATATGTGCCGTTGTTGCTGTACCTGTTGATGGTCCTTCCGCGAAATTTGCCTGACTTGGCAGCGAAAGCGAGAGAGAGAGAGGGGGGGGGGGGGGCAAAACAACATGATCGACCCACGAACCCGGAAAGGAATATAGACATGAGACATGCCAACGTGTTCAAGACACCTGTTCGGGCGACGGGCAATTGCAATGCTGAGTGTATCGACCTTGATGTACCGTGCCAAGGGCTGTGCTGTGCTACGCCATGCTGAATTGCGAGATGTGCCATGCCGCGATTGTGCTCTATAGCGTTGTGGATCGAGTCCTCCTTCGCATCCGAGTCCTGACCGAACTGGTCTGGATCTTAAGCTCGAGCTGCCTGGGCACATAGTAGCTGCCCACGAGCTAGTTAGGGTGGAAACGTGCGGGACGCTTAATCAACTCGACATCAAACTCCGACTCAGCCTCGAAAATGAACGACACTACAAAGGGCACAGACTCACGGACGCGACACAGGATGTGCTTGGGGCGCAATACGGGATGCGCCAGGGGGCGTGTCAGGGGACGTATCAGGGGACGTGCCCGGAACGTGTCAAGGACCTGCCACGGGACGTGCCAAGGCGCCGGTTATAGGACGGCCAGAGGACGTCATGCCAAGGGACGTTGCATGGGGCGCGCCACGGAACAGGCAGGGGAAACGCCTGGGGACGAGCCAGGAAACGCGACAGAGGACGGGCCAGGGAACGTGCCACGCCGAGTGGCGTGCTAGGGGGTGTGCCAGGGCTCGACACGCGAAACGTCGCAAGGGACGCGCGAGGAGACGCACCAGCGCGCCAAAAGACGCCCCACGGACGGGCGGGGTTGGACTGCGATTCACTCTGCTGCGACAAGCGTTTCGCTCGAGACATCCTCAACACATAGGCATCCGCCTGGGCGACCTGGAAACTTGAAAACAAGTGTCTCGCTTGAGACATCCTCAACAGTCTCGTTCGAGACATCCTCAACACATCCTCATGCCAGACATTCGCCTGGGCGACCTGGGCACGTGAAAACCAAGCGTCTCGCTCGAGACGTTCTCACCACCTCCTCATGCTAGACATCCGCCTGGGCGACCTGGACGCGTGAAAACAAACGTCTCGCTCGAGACATCCTCATGCCAGACATCCGCCTGGGCGACCTGGACACGTGAAAACCAAGCGTCTCGGTCGAGACGTTCTCACCACCTCCTCATGCTAGACATCCGCCTGGCGACCTGGACACGTGAAATCAAGCGTTTCGCTTGAGAGGTTCTAAACACATCCTCATGCTAGACATCCGCCTGGGCGACCTGGACAAGTGAAACCAAGCGTCTCGGTCGAGACGTTTTCATCACCTCCTCATGCTAGACATCCGCCTTGGCGACCGGACACGTGAGAGTAAGCGGCTCGCCCGAGACATCCTCAACACATCTTGATGGTAGACATCCGTCTGGGCGACCCGGGCACATGAAAATTACTCCGACGGAAGGACCCCGCATGAGAATCCTCTTGGCGAATCTGGAAAAAGCCCTCACCGTCGTCCTCGTGGTTGGTGAGGCGTCCTGGCTGTCTCTTCTGCGTATATTTCCTCTCGCCCTGGCGCGGGCCTTCCCCCCGCTCCCCACGTTGCCCCCGACCTCGCCCTCCTGCTTTGGCTCCGGACATTCAGAAAGTGGCCCGGGAGTGGAGTTCTGGGAACACGAAGAACACGAAGTGGCCTACAGTTGGCTCCAGGCATTCAAAATGTGGCCCGGGAATGGTGTTCTGGGAGCACGAAGAACACGAAGTGGCCTACAGTTGGCTCCGGGCATTCAAAATGTGGCCTGGGAGTGGCGTTCTGGCAGCGCGAGAGCCCAAAAGTGGCGACAGTTACAAGAATTGGATGACCCGCTCGGATTAGTAACATGACCCGCGGGCCCCATAGGGAGGGGACTCCCGCTTGAGACTTCCTCGCAATTCACTCACAAATTTAGCCTGGGAATGGCGTTCTGGCAGCGCGAGAGCCCAAAAAGGGCGACAGTTACAGGAATTGGATGACCCGCTCGGATTAATAACATGATCCGCGGGCCCCATAGGGAGGAAGCTCCCGCTTGAGACTTCCTCGCAATTCACTCACAAATTTAGCCTGGGAATGGCGTTCTGGCTGCGCGAGAGCCCAAAAAGGGCGACAGTTACAGGAATTGGATGACCCGCTCGGATTAGTAACATGATCCGCGGGCCCCATAGGGAGGGGGCTCCCGCTTGAGACTTCCTCGCAATTCACTCACAAATGTAGCCTGGGAATGGCGTTCTGGCAGCGCGAGAGCCCAAAAGTGGCGACAGTTACAAGAATTGGATGACCCGCTCGGATTAGTAACATGATCCGCGGGCCCCATAGGGAGGGGGCTCCCGCTTGAGACTTCCTCGCAACTCACTCACAGACGAGGCCCAAGGCGAGTGAGTGAGTGAGTGAGTGACTGACTGACTGGTGATGATGATGATCATCACACTCTCTCACGCGCACACTCATCATCATCATATGTGAGTTCATGAGCGTGTGAGTGAGTGATTGCTGATGAGTCAGTGAGTGAGTGAGTGAGTGAGTGAGTGAGTGAGTGAGTGAGCTAGTGAGTGAGTGAGTGAGCGCACGAAGACAGAAGAGGAGAGGGGGTGAGGTGAGGAGGTTCCTGCGCGGGGTGTCCAGAGAAAACAAGAACCCCACTTTGGATGTGGGGAACAAGCGTTTCGCTTGAGACTATCTCAACACCTCATGCTAGACATCCGCCTGGGCGACCTGGACACGTGAAAATCAGCTTCTCGCTCGGAACATCCTCAACACATCTTTATATTAGACATCCGCCTGGGCGACCTGGACACGTGAAAACAAGCGTTTCGCTTGAGAGGTTCTAAACACATCCTCATGCTAGACATCCGCCTGGGCGACCTGGACACGTCAACGCAAGCGTATCGATCGAGACATCCTCAACACATCCTCGTGCTAGACATCTGCCTGTGCGACCTGGACCCGTGAATACAAGCGTCTCGCCAGAGACATCGTCGACAAAGCCTCATGCTAGACATTTTTGCATGGGCAACTGGACGCGTGAAACCAAGCGTCTCGCTCGAGACATCCTCAAGACCTGGACACGTGCAAAACAAGGATTGCACCTGAGACATCCTCTGAATTCTGGTCCCCAGGAGAGGAACAACACATAACACAAAACAAGCGTTTCGCTCGAGACATCCTCAACTATCTCTGCAATACAAGCGTTTTACTCGAGACATCCGCGACAGACGAACATGTTTACTTACCATGTGTTTTACCAATCGGAATTTCAAAAAAACAGCTTCTCGTTGGGACATCCTCAAAAATAATTCCGCCAGCCCTACGCGACTTCGTGATGTATCGCAACCAATTCCGCCAGCCCTACGGGGGGAAACAGCTAAAAGAGAACCCTGTGCCTGAGCCCTTTCCGGGAAGAATCCCTCCACCTCCTTCTCATTGTCGGGAGCGGCCAAGAGGGGGGTGTCCTTCAAGAGGGGGAGGTGCAAATCATGACCGGCGGCATGTGCGCGGCCCAGCGGGGGGGCCAGGGACGTAATGAAATGAGAAGAGGCGCCATGAAATCTGAGGAACTATCATGGCCCACGCCATGATATCCACCCCCCCTAATCATCACCCCCCTCTTTGCTGCCCCGTACATTGTCCCGGGGGTCTCTCTACCGCACTCGCTGGTCGAAGCGACGCGGATCCGAGGAGACAGGGCCGGGGGGGGGGTCCGCACCCCACCCCGCCTCGCTCACCAGAACACGTCTTGGAAAAGCAAAGGCAGGGCAAGCCCGAGTGGCTCAAGAAGGGATGGGGAGCCAGGATGCCGACTGAACGACACGATGAGGGATCGTTGTGACCGACGCCCGGAATCCCGCAACGTCAAGTATGTGCACGCACCCGTGTGACTTACCCTAGATGTTCTCGCGGGGGATGGTCCTCTGGACCGTACTCGCTGGTCAAAGCTGCTCGGATCCGAAGGGAAAGGGCGAAGGGGAGCTCCGCCCAATTCCGCCGTCGCGTTCACCCAAACACCCTGGGTGGCCTGGACACGTAACGTGATCGACCCACGAACCTGGAAAGGAACATATAGAACTGTAAGGCATGGCAACGTTTCAAAGACACTTGATTGGCCGACGGGCAAATGCAATGCCGAATGTATCGATCTTGATGTACTGTGCCGGGGGCTGTGCTGTGCTACGCCGTGCTGGACTGCGATGGGCCATGCCGCGATTGTGCTCTATATAGCGTTGTGGATCGAGTCCTCCCTGGCA